TTCGGGATTTTCGGTAAGAACCAGCTTCAAGTTCATCTCTTTAGCTTTAATTTGGCTTGGGTCACTCTAATCCCTTTTGTTTCTTGCAATTTTGTGGTAGTTTTCATGATTTCTTCTCTAGTCTCCGTCGGCCTCCATACCCGCCAGCTCCAGTTTTGGCCGCTGGAAAAATTCTGGTATGTTGATGGCTTCTTTAAGTCCGAAAATGGTTAATTAATTGCTGCCCTGAATCTTCGAATTTTCTGCCTTGATTTGTCCTTGTATTGTTTGGATTTTCTGCTGAAAGAGGGAAGAATTCTGACAGCAGTGAAATGATTTTTCTTAGTTTAATTTATGTAGAAAAATTATCTTGATTAGCTGCTGTGAGGTTCTAGAGAAAAATCCTGTGAATTTAGCAATTGTTTTGCCAAATTTCTGGAAGTTGCATTTACACTGCGTGATTACTGTTTATGGTACTGTTTACCAATTACTGTTCACGCATTAATGGCCAGATAGGAAGATTTAAATGTTTAGTTTCTAATAAGAATGAAATTAGAGGTGTTCGATCATGTGGAGGTTAATATAAATAGCACCTTGATTAGGGGGTGATCCTAATGATGTTTTCACTTTGAATTTGTGGTGGTACGGTATTAATTTTGGGGTATTTTGATTAGGTTCTTGAATGTTCTGTCATCCGAGCACTTGGGTTGAGTTTCTGGTATTACGGATTTAAGGTAAGTAAATTATGGTAACGCCATTTGATTTCAAAATAAAAGCATATTTTAAATCGTTTTTGAGATGGTGCCAAGGTTTAAATTGATTTTGTTGATACCGAGCATGATTGGTTTGAAATGGAATTATTTTCATTTTCATTGAGTAGAGCATGTTTACTTGGAATTTGCTTAACTGCTTTGATGATTTGAAAATTTTTGTAAATTATGAATTTCCTGTTAAATCCATTGCCATATGGAAAATTTTTGATTATTTTTGGAATTTGAGATTTGATTGAGAATTACGGGTTTTTTTTGTAAATCCTGTATGGTTTTGTCTCTGATATAGTCATGATTACTGATGCCCGCTAGTGGGAGTTTGCAAATGTTAGCACATGTCGACATGTTTACTGATAGGATCGGTTCATTTTGTAATCCTGCCAATGGGATAATACATTGGTAATTACTGACGCCTGTCAATGGGTAAATACATTGGTAATTATTGACGCTTGTCAGTGGGAGTTTGTTAAACACTGGTTATTACTGACGCCTATCAGTGGGAGTTTGTTAAACACTGATCATGACTTATAGATGAGACTACTATTGAATTTTCTTCTGTATTAACGATTTGTTATTGAACACTTTGTTATTGAACTGAATCTTATTCTGTATTAACGGTTTATCATTGAACGTTTTGTTATGTTAAATTATTTATCGGCATGCTTAAATTTTACTCACAGGCTATCCATATTTTTACTTACTGATATATTTTATCTTATAGTTTTTCTTTGTTCACTATTTCAAGAAGCGAAGTCAATGACGGGGAAAAACGAGGGGAGTGACGAGTTAGAAGGCTAGCCATCTTATAAATTGAACATAGATTTTAAATATAAATCATGATCTTGTAAGTTAGATTTTATTTAGAGATTTTATGATATCAAGATAAATTTTAAAATTTTAATTTCAAATTTTATGATATCAGATTATGGTATAATAAGTTTCAAATATTGTACATTTATGAGACTCTTTCATAAATGTACAATGTCTATTACGTTTTCAAATTTGGGTTATGAGACGTAACATATTATATCTTTATTTAAACATAAGATAAAAAACCTATTACGTATCAATTCATTCATGTTAGGTGGCATATATATCAGATGTACATGGACTGACAGACGCATCACCGACCGCACTGCCAGTAATAATAAAATAATCCACAAACCCCGCCCCCACCACTCCCCAATGCAATCTCTTGTTTCCTTCACTGTTCACAGTGACGTTGAGAGAACCTAGTAATTGCTCACTCTGCACCCTTCTCCGTAAATGCGCTGGCTCTGGCCCCTACCATCTTCCCATAAGCTAATCAAAATCCTAAACTACACTGCACTAATTTAGTTATTATTGTTAAAAATATTCAAGACCGATGAACTATATTACAGGGTAAGTGAGAGATATACTTCTCTTTCACAATACAAATCTAAAATTTAAAATCTTGTACTTTTATTTGGAAGAAAATTATTGTCAAATAAACTCAACTTTTATTATTAGACCAAACAATTGAGCAAGTTTCCTTATTTGTTGTTCCAAAAAAAAAAAAAAAAAAAAAAAAAAAAAAAAACCCTCAACTGCATAATAGAGAGCTGATATGCTTATTTGATTTGATGCATTCTCGCAATAAATATTCTGCCTAATCACTTTGAGTGTAGTGAAGAAAATTTTCGAATCACTATTTGATCTAAAACTCACACTAATTTTTAAAGAAACAAAACAAAAGGTTGAAAGGAATTTCGAGTTTTGTTTAGAGGCGTAGAGTTGAACCGGTGAAGGAAAATGAAAGTGAGTTTTGCCAAAAATCAAAATAAACAGATCCTTTTTAAAAGGCTTAATCGAATAATTAATTTATTAATTATTAGACTAATTTTATTTTAGTTTAAAAAATTAGTTTTTTAAAATAATCTATAAATTTTGTAAAATATTTTAGAATAGTTTGTTGTATAAAACGTCTACTAATTTTAACAAAAAGTAATAGAAAAGTTAAATCAAAATTAAAACAGAAAAATACCAACCAGCAAAATAACCCTTAGTAGATTGTACAAGTGATTAAAATATGTTAATAATTATGATTTTTGTTACAAAGGAAAATTGTTGAAAAGGAAAGTTAAAA